CTGTGTCTGTGTTAATTGGTTTCCCTTTTCTTTGTTGAAGAGGGTCTGTGCAATCCTTCTGCCTAGTCCGCCATCTTGCCCCGCCTCCTGCCTGCTCATTTAATCTCCTTTATATTGCAAAAGAAACTGACTCAAGACACACCCTATGCTAATCTTCCTCATTAATATAACAAAGACATCCCATTCCCTGTTGTTGTTGTTGTTATATGCCATCAAGTCGAACCAACTCATAACGACCCTTCCTCCTTGGCTTTCCAAGGCAGTATCACTATGGAAGTAGAATGCACCATCTTCCTTCTGAGGAGTGGCTGGTGGGTTTGAAGTGCCAGCCTTCTGGTTAGCAGTCAAATGCCTTAGGCACTATGCTACCAGAGCTCCCATTATAGGCACAGAGGTTGGGATTTACCACACAGATTTTTGGGAGACAAAATTCAAACCACAACACTACCAGTACCTTTTGCTTAGAAGCTACCTCACAAAGCCCAGGGAGATGCAAATGGAAGGCATTAGACATCTTCATTCACTACCTCTATCTGAACACACACTGGAATTTGTTTTGTGGGAGAGAACAGGTAAAAGGTTTTACTTGCTTCTCATGGACCAAAAAGTTCTGAGTTGTGTTCTGTTTCCTCCACAGATGAGGGAAGCAATACATTTAAATTAGTTGAAGCTGTCTATGATAAGTATGCTATGTTCTATCTCATGAATGTCAACAACAGGAAGACATTCCAGCTGATGGAGCTCTATGGTAAAGTATTTTCATGCTGATATTCATCTTGGGGTGGGAAGAGAGGGAGCAGAGGAACCCTGGAGATAAAGTGGTCCTCTTGGTCTTATTCTGGGATGTCTCTCTCCCTCTGAAGATAGATGTTCACATTTGGGAATCCCTCGGCCTTGGTGATGGGAAGATGATGAAATCTCTCATCATGCCAGTGGGATAGCCTACTAATGTCATATCTCATGGCAGTTAATAGCCCTCTCATTTGTCTAATGACCAATAAAAGCACTCAGTATAGCAGTTATTGTCACTCTGCCCACAGGCCGAACAGAAGATCTAAGCCAAGAAATCAAGCAAAAATTTGTGAAATATTGCACACAGCGTGGAATTCCTATGGAAAACATACTTGACCTGACCAAAGTTGGTAAGTTGTTATCTTTGGCTTTCACTTCTTAAATTTCCATGTGTCATGGATTGAATTGTATCCTCTAAAAGTATGTGTCAACTTGGGTGGGCCCTGATTCTCAGTGGTTTGGCAGTTATGTGATGATGTAATGTGACAGTTATGTAATGATGTAATCATTGCCCATAATGTGATCTGATATGATCAGCCAATCAATTATAAGGGATTAGGGTGGGGTGCAACACCCTCAATCAGGTCACAGCCCTGATCCAATGTAAGGGGAGGTTTCCTGGGATGTGGCCTGTATCACCTTTTATCTTACAAGAAATAAGAGAGAAGTGAGCAGAGAAAGGGGACCTCAGTACAACAAAGAAAGAAGAGTTGGGAGCAAAGGGCATCCTTTGAACCCAGGGTCCCTGTGCTGAGAATCTCCTAGACCCAGGGGAAGAATGATGACAAGACACATGGAGATCTCCAAGGAATACAAGGCACACAGATGTTAAAAGGAAAGGACCTTCCCCCAGAGCTGATAGAAAAAGAAAGCCTTCCCCTACCTAGAGCTGGTGACCTGAATTTGGACTTGCAATCCCCTAAACTGTGAGAGAATAAATTTCTGTTTATTAAAACCACCCACTTGTGGTATTTCTGTTATAGCAGCACTAGAGAACTGAGACAGAATTTGGTACCAGAACAGTAGGTGCTGCTCTAACAGACACCTAAAACGTGGAAGCGGTTTTGCTATTGGGGAATGGGCAGAGGTTGGAAGAGTTTTAAGGTGCCTAATAGTAAAAGCCTAGATTCTCTTGAAGAGACTGTTGGTAGAATGATGGACATCAAGATCATTTCTGGTGAAGGCTCAGAAAGAAGTGAGAAGAGCAGTAACACCAGAGACAGTGCAGATGGTAAGTGGCAACAGCAGAGAAATGGTGGCAGGCTAACCAAGAGACTGGTGTAAGACAGCATGGGAGCTGACCCATGGAGCAAGAGAGCTGCATGGGGAAAGATTCGTGGCAGAAAGGGGTCCTCTGGGCCCTTGTTGATGTAGCTAGGCTTGCCGACCCACAGAAAGAGAACCGAGCTGCTTTGGGCCGAGGCTTATTGGTGGCGTGGGGTGCCTCTGGGCACTTATCAGAGCTAAAAAGCTTTGTAACACCTGCCCAAGGAGGGCAGAGGCTGGCCCAGTCCAAGATGTCAAGGGGTCAAGGGGCCAAGAGGCCAAGGAACCAGGAAACAGAAGCTGAAGAGACAGGGAGCCCAGGAAGCAGAGCTGCATCAGTCTCAAAGGGCCATGACCGCTGAGGTCTCAAGGCATGAGGCCGTGCCTCCCAGGTTTCAAAAGTCAGATCTTCACCAACTCAGTTTCGGAGCGTGGGACTGCCATTCACAGGAGGGTGGAGCTGAAGCCACCACCCAAAACTGAGGGGGTAGGAATGCCACGCCCAAGGGGCAGAAGAATGGGGCCTGCCAGGCTGAGGGGGTGGGGTCACCACGTAGTTGGACCAGGAGAATGGGGCTCCTCAAAGCTAAGGGATCAGAGTTACCACCCCAGTGGGCCTGGAAGGTGGAGCTGAAGCTCAGAGCCTAGGGACCTCCACCCAGAACCCAGAAAGCATGGCTGACATGTGGAGTCTGGAGGGCAGGGCCACTGCCTAGAGGGTCTCAGAGAACAGAGGATTACTTTCAAGTCTTGAGAACTGATGTAAATTGTTCCACTGGGTTTTTCACTTGCTTAGTAGCCATCATCCCTTCTTTCCCTCTAATGTCTCCCGTGCGCCTGGTCTACCACTGTGCTTTGGAAACAAGGAACTTGTATTCTAGATTCACAGATGAGGACGAATTTTGCCCCAGGATAGAATTTGGATTTAGAGTTGATTTAAGATATGATGAGGTAAAAGTGTTTTACATGTGGCAAGGACATGAATTTTGGGGGGCCAACCATCAGCCACTCCTCGGAAAGAAGGTTGGACAATCTACTTCCATAGTGATCCACCTTGGAAACCCAAGGAGGGGTCGCTACGAGTCGGATCCGACTCAACGGCAGTTTGTTTGGATTTTTTTTTTAAGGGTGGAATGTTATGTATTGAATTGTGTCATTTAAAAAAATGTGTGTCAGTTTGGTTGATTCTCAGTGGTTTGGTGGTTGTGTAACTGTGATAGTTCAGTTTGTGTGTCATCTTGGCTGGGCCTGGTTGAGTGGCTGGGTAGCTGGATGTAGTATTCCCCATGATGAGACTAGTAATTAACTCCATGGTGGAATCTACTGGGAGCAGCTGAGTAGCTGCCTTAGGGATGTGGTCTGCTTCCTGTATATAAGCAGAAGGCTTGGGGATAGTCTCTAGTTTATGGCACGCTTGGACCCTGGATGTAGCCATGTTGTTGTTCAGCAGCCTGCCATGCTCTGCTGACCTTTTGGACTTACAATGGACTTGAATTAATGGCCTGCCATGTGGTTTGGTAACATCAGGACTGTGCCATTTTATTTTTTGACCTTGGGCTTGTTAGCCTCAGCAGCTAGTAGCTGCCTGAGTGAAGAGATGCCCCTAGCTTCAGTGGGCCAGGAGCAAGAGGCAGAGCTGAAGCCCAAGGTCGAGGGGCTTTCACACAGCCCCTAGAGCCTGGCACTTTGAACTTGGACTTAAAGCCTCCAAATTGTGAGAGAATAAACTCCTGTTTGTTAAGGCCATCCCATTTGTGGTATAATCTTGTCAGAGTGGCACTAGCTAACCAGAACAGTAATGATGTAATTTGGCAGTTATATAATGATTCAGTCATCCCCCATGGTGTGAGCTGATGTGATCAGCCACTCAATTATAAGGAGATTAGGGTGAGATGCAAAACCCTTACTCAGGTCAGAGAAAGGGGACCTCAGTACCAACACGAAATTAGAGTGAGGAGCAGAGTACATCCTCCGGATCTGGGATTATAGCAACACCAGATAACTACGACACCATGTTACTGAGCGGGAGAAATCCAAGGGAGGGTCGTGCTTCCAAGGAGTCCCTTTTGTCCTAACCCAGTGAATGTTCTGGTTTCTTTCTGGGGATGAATCGGAGTTAGTGTCAACATGTCCTGCTATTGCTTTACAGATCGCTGTCTCCAGGCATGAGGTGAGGAAGAGCCCCAGGACTCCAGGTTGGTGATCTCTGACTCTAAGAGGTAGTGAAGGCCCAATGCCTTCCGAAAACATTAAGAGTTTATGCCCAAAGATTACAATAAAACAATTTATAGTAAGAAAGTTGATGAGGAAATGTTGATACTAGGCATTGGAGGACTGGGTTCAGGACTTAGTCCTACTGTGAGCTTTTGAACAGATGACCTAAACAATGAAAAAGAAAACACTGATGTCTCTCTTGCAGAGTTGTTTGTGACTATTATACTGGTGAAAAGGGCTCAGAAATTGATCATGTGCTAAAAATAACATTAAGACTTGAAGTTTGAAATGGGAAAAGAGTAGCAAGGCTTGAAAATGAAACTCAAATATTTTTGTATTTGTATCCTCCAAACCCAGGAGGCCACCACAGCCTCCAATTAATACAAATATCTTCCTTTGAATTCTTGATATTCTTGGCTGTTCCTTCTCAATCTGGGAATGGCGTACATGACCTTCCTTTTGTCTTCAACCCAGCAAATATAGTCTGAGTTTCTTCATCTGTTTTCTACCTCAGAATTACTGTGGGGCTTCATTCAAATAATATACATAAAAGTCTTAGCACCTATGGCTCACATAAAGTAAACATTTACTGTATTTTTATACAAATAACATTCACGTTATACATTTTTGCAAACCGCACAAACCCGACATATTATTTCCATAACTTATTTTTCACATGTTGTTGATTTCAATCTCATTTCTTTTTCTGTCCAATGGATTTAATGTTACAGGGATAAAACTAATCTCAGGGAAACTTCATTTAAGATGTGTATTTTGCTAACCCAAGTACAACCAATGGTGGACTGAATGGACTTGTGTTGGAAATGGGAGCCATGTTGAAACCAAAGAGTATGAATGTATGAAAAGCTAGAAATTAGCAAGAAATGATCCTAGGCCCAAAACTACAAGAATATGATGTTGCTTATATTTTATTGCTTTCATAAATTTTAAACAGAAACATAATTTTTTGATAATCAATGTCTTTGAAATCAATACAAATTACTAGAAGAAAGTGTGTTTTCATCTTAAGACAGGCCATTTTAGTTTTTTCGTTATCATCATCATCATCCAACTCCCAGAACCTTCCAGAGTCTGATCCTTCATCATCTTCATTGAAATACCTCAGAGCTGCCTGCAGATGCTAAATTGTGACTTGTGAACTGATGTCATTATCACCACTGCTTTTGGCATCTTCGTCTGTGGCATGGGTCTTCTGTTAGACTTTCTGAAGCTGTTGTGCATGGTTTCTGGGGTTATTTTCCCCTAAGCTGAAGCCACCCACTTGCAGACTTCTGTAAACATCACCTGCTTCAGTTGCGCTGATGGTGTGAGCGCATGAATCCCAGACTGCATCCATTCATCCCCCTCTGTCCTCATGAAGGTCTTGAATGACTGGTTGAACGCTGTATCCAGTGACTGCAGCTTATAGGTCAGGCCACCAGGTGTGACTGCTGTATGGGTTCAGTTAATATAATTTTGAATGTTTTTTTCTTTGTGAGCTGCCATGACGTAGAAAATTAGTAAAGATTTCTTCAGAAAGAATTCCCCTGGCCTGGCCCTGTAACATTTATCTACCCATACTTTCATAACATCATGATCAATTCATCCCTTATTACAATAACCGACCACACTGATAGGCGGTTTTTTTTGGTGGCATGAAAACGGTCTTGAAAATCAAGCTTGGCTTTCATTTCATCCCAGTCACAGTGCAACCAAGGACTACAGTGAAGCAAGTCCTCTTGTGCCCAGTGGGCACAAGTTTCTGTGGGCACAAGGTACAGTTTTTGTACTTGAAGCAGCTACTGTCCTGTTGGCCAGAATGTTGAGACATTAGTATCTCATCCATGTTCATTATGTCCATTGCAGAGAT